TTGTGAGAGTGTTTTTATTGTAGGTCATGTGATGTGATGCTTTCGAGTCTATGATCCAAGAGTCAGCAGTTAATTTTACACATCTACAAGAAAGATCACATATCTCAGTAATAGAAGAGTAACAAGCAAGTATACCTGCCAGATTCACAGCTCCACTTAGCATGTTGTTTGAGTTAGGAGCTCCATGTCCAACCTGCAGAGATCCTAAAAGATTGAGCAGTTGTTCATACTGATCTTTGGATAAGTTCAAAGGCATTTGTTTCCTCAACTCAGGGTCCTCTTCACAGTGGTTCTTATCATTCTCAGAGGTGCACATATTTGCTGCAGAACCAGTACTCTTCCCCTTGGAAAACTTCAAGTTGGATGGATATCCATGAAGTTTGTAGCATATTTCTCTTGTGTGACCTGTTCTCATGCAAAAATCACAAAACAAGGAACTCCTGCTGGTGCTAGAAGTACCTCTAAACACATTTGTGTTATTCAAATTCCCAGAGACTCATGTGCTCCCTTTAGAGGAATTGCAGTTTGTTCTGGGGCCTCCCTTAGATCCTGTACTACCGGCAAGAGCATTCAGTGAAATTGAGTCCAAAGATGTGTGGTTGTGAGGTCTTACTTCCCTTTGTTTTTCCTCTTGAGACAAAATGGCAAAAGCTTGTGCCATACTAGGCAGGGTACTCATCATGAGAATGTTTCCTCTGATGACAGTGTACATTTCATTCAGTCCCATCAAGAAATGTATGAGTCTTCTATCTTGTTCAGCTTTGACCAACCTTATCTTACCACCACAAGTGCAAACACAACTACATTGAGATCTTACATCGACAGTGGGCATCTCTTCCCAAAGTTTCTTCAACTTTGTGTAGTATCCAGTAATATCCAAGGTGCCTTAGACAAGATCGTTTATCTCCTTTTGAAGATGGTACAGCTTACAACCATTAGTCTGATCATACCTTTCTTCCAATTCAGCCCACAATTCTTGTGCATTGTTAACGTACTGCAGACTATCTCTTAGATATGGTAACAAGGAATTCAAAATCCAAGAGGTTACCATATCATCACACCTCTCCCACTGCTGGAAGCTAGGATCATTTGGATTTGGTTTTACAACTTTCCCATTGATAAAACCTGTCTTGCTCTTAACTGACAAGGCCCTAAAAATAGCTCTCCTCCAAGATCTATAACCAGTACCATCGAAAACTCCAGGCAATAGAGATGAACCTGCATTCTCGAAAGGGTGTAGATAGAAAGGACTAGGAATCTCAATCCTAACCGTGGATGTAGAACCACTTGGAATTGGATCAACTTGTTGATCAACCATATCGAAAAGAGATCGAGAAACAAATTCAATTTGAGGAACAATAACTGAACCTCAAAATTGAAACAGCAAAAAAAAACTCGAAAAAAAAAACTCTTTGAGAATTTAAGCTCACAGACTGTTGTAGATGCGGAAAGGAAACAGGATCTATGCCCTGTGCTCTGATACCATGTTAAAATCAACACATTGTGATGCCAGGCAATTAAATTCCTCCATTGATGAACATCAAGTTCATATGAGAAAGGAAGAAGAAAGTTCTGGAAGACCTAAATGGAAAAGAAACTATTTCATTGAATGAAAAATTAAGTAGTGATTGTTACATGTGACTCTGTATATATAGATACACGAATTGTAAACTAGCTAACCAACTTATGCAAAATCTGACTTTCTGTAACCAACTCTAACTAACTAACTCTGTGAAGCAGTAACAGTGCTAACTAACTCTATGAACTTTAACTAACTAACTTATATTTCATCAGGGTGAAAGCTATCCAATGAAACGTAAGGAAAGACACAAAGATTTGATAAGGGTAGAAACATAAGAGAATTAATAGTTACATTAACAATACCTAAAAAAAATTAACTCATAGAGAATAGAGCTTAACCAATAAGAACACAAACAAGAAGGGGGTTAAATCAAGTTTTATATGATGCAAAAAGCTTTATTTTAAATTATTAGGTGTGTGGAGACAATTGCTAAGCTTAAACCTCTAATTATAAATGTTTCAATATTTATTATATGACAAATATGGAAAAGAAGGAATATTATATATCAATTGAGAAAGATATCTATGTTTGCTATGATCAAGGAGTTTAATAAAAACTTGTATTTATTAGCTTCCTAGCTATAGAGATCCCTGGGTTGAACAATTACCAAATACTTGGCCTTTGTTAATTAAAGCTTTAGAGATTATCACCTTTAATTACCAATCAAGTGGTTAAATAAAATTTTCTGATATAAAAGCTAGAATATTGGAGGTAAGCTCTGCACTAGAGGCAAAGTGAGCTTTGAGAGTTGGGGTTGAATATTGTATTAGCAACTATATTCTTCATCTTACAATGAAAAATGATTCTTTAATTTCAAACAATTTCAAAAAAAAGTGTTGGATGGCCAGTGAAAAATACATTGGGCTATTGCAGTGGAAGTTAGAGGAATGGTACAAACACCAAACAATATCATACGATTCAAGAGTTACTATAAAAAGCTAAAGATATACTCGAATTAGAGAAAAACAAAATTGCTAAGACTGAAAAAATGTCAAAATAGGTTATACAATTTGAATAGGAACTAGTCAAAAATCAACATCCACAAAAATAGAAAGCTAACAAGCAAAGGGCAGAATTTCCACAAATCATGGTAAGAATTTCCTTAGGATGCCGGTCTTTAGAAAACCTTCCAAGGGGTTTGTTATCATGATTTTCTGAAGAAGCAACACTAGTAACGCCAACACTTGAATCTGCATGATTCACCACTTAAGTAATTTGAGGAAGTGTATATAATAAGTTAAATCTTTCTTAAATCAAATGATAAACACATAATTAAAGCAATACTAAAAACATATATACTTAAAGCTTGTGGTTGCTTCTTCTTTTGAGAACCCTAG